ACACCTCCCTGCGTGATAGACACGATCATCTAGCCGGGAGGTTAGACAACGTCGTTCGTGAGTTTCACACACGTCTTGAGATTTTTTGAGATTTTGCAGAACTTTGCTGGTTTTTTCGAAGCTACTCCCAGAGCGGAGCCAGCTCAACTTCCTGTTCCGGAACCTGATCCGCCCGTCACTTCCGGAGAGATTCTCAGGTATTCCAAACAAATGTAAGGGATTTTTGTTCCAGTGCAGATTAATTTTTGAGCATTCACCTGCCAGTTTTTCTAACGATAAAAGAAGAATGGCCTTCATCCTTTCACAACTGACTGGAAGAGCTCTTGAATGGGCAGAGGCTAGATTTTCCTCTGAATCCAGTTTTCTGTGCACTTTCGCAGAATTCATAACAGAATTTTCTCAGGTCTTTAATCAAGGCTCAGAAAGATCCATTGACTCTAGTGCCTTGCTCAGTTTAAGACAAGGAAATCAGACTGTGGCAGACTTTTCTATTGACTTCCGGGTCAAAGCCGCAGCTTCTGATTGGAATGAGTGTGCACTTAAGATTGCTTTTTTCATGGCTCTAAATGAAGTTATTAAGGACGAACTTGCCTCGATCGACGAACCTGAAACTCTGGAAGACCTTATCAAATTGACCATTAGCCTGGATAACCGTCTGAGAACCAGATCCAAGCCAAAAGTTAAGGGTCATATTTTACCTGTTTCCGTTTCTATGGCCAAGAAAAGGGACGTCTCATCCTCTTTTGTTTCCCCTGAAGATGAGTTCAGAACTGAAAGCCGTGCCCAACCTGTATCTGACCCTGTGACTAGAACTCATTTTGTTTCTCCAGCCTTAGAATCACCTAAGGGAGAGCCTATGCAGATTGGTCACACTAGGCTCACACCCGACGAGACTCAAAGAAGGTTTAAGGAGAACCCTGCATATATTGTGGAGAACCTGGACACTTCGTTTCGACCTGTCCAGCGAAGATAAAAAGTCGGGGCTCGCCGGAAATTATGAGGAGTCTGGCAAACCATCTACAAGATAGGAGATCTCCTCATTTCCTGTTACCCGCTACTTTGTTTGCCGCTGATCAGACTATCACTTTGTCTGCCTTTATTGATTCCGGTTGTCAAAGGAATTTAATTGACTCCAACCTTGTCCGACAACTAAACATTGAAACTATCCCGTTGAGGAGGCCTCTTAGAGTCTCAGCCATAGATGGAAAGAGACTACACCAAGTTACAGAACAACAACCTCCTAGATTCAGGGCAGAAGTTTCTGCCTGGTTCAGACTGGACAGTATTCAGGTGAGGATTCATCAAACTGGATCTTATGGTTTCTAATGATGAACAATATTCTCCATTTCACAGATCCAAATGGTTTAAATGTCGATGATATTCAGATAAATGGCAGTGGTTCTGGACCTCACCATGATATGGTCCAATTCTTTTTACTTCACTGGGTGGACAGAAGAGCAAAGAATTGGACCCTATCATGGAGAGGTCCAGAACCACTGCCATTTATCTGAATATCATCGACATTTAAACCATTTGGATCTGTGAAATGGAGAATATTGTTCATCATTTGAAACCAGATGATCCAGTTTGATGAATCCTCACCTGAATACTGTCCAGTCTGAACCAGGCANAATACACATGAAGAAGAACCAGAACCAACAGGTTCCATTCAGAAAGCTGCAGCGACCCAAACAAACATCACATGATCCAAAGAGCTGCAACATCAGCAACGTTTAAAGTTCCTGTAGAACCGCTGCAGACCAACAACAGAACAACCTGAACAGATTTAGTGTAAAAGTACCATTTTTAAAACTACTTAAAGTATAAAGGTAAAAGTAATGCAGGAAAAAATGTTAAGGCCAGAAGCTTTACTGCACTACCCTATTAAAGGAACAATTTTCTACAATTCTGGATGATAACTTCCTTAGACTTAATTTACTTAGTTTAATAACTAATGATAACACTGTCACATTTAACTTTGCATCATCTTGCTAAACTATTTATTTTGGTCTGTGGTGAACATCAAGTTGGGGCAGCACCAAGTACAAACAAAAAGAAACACAAAGAAATTTATTGTGTAGATGAAACTATTTATTTTGATGGTTTTAATTTTTTAATACCAACAGGCCATAAGGAAAATTAGCTTAAATTAAACAAAACCAATGACTCTGTTTCTAAAATTTAAGGAGTAGAAATAAAAAAGAAAAATAATTACTCTAGTAAATTATATATAGCTACATTTTCTACTTAAGTAAAGGGACAAAGTATTTGTACTTTGTCACTTTACACCTCAGGTAGTAAAACAGTTTTAGTTTATTGCAAGGTTTTAGTTTTTGTCCTAATTTGCCTTTCTACTGCCCTCCTGTGGTTATAGATGGTAACTACATGCTAAACTCCATATAAAAGAAGTTAGCAATTGATATAGAACTGAAAGATTATGCCGTTTAGAATCAGAGTGTAGATCTATAGATATAGATAATCAGAATTTGTGTAAAAAACAGGAGACAGAGGGGAGGATTTGCTGCAGAGCTAAAACATCCTCCACAGTAACTTAAAGTGCTGCTGGTGTCTGTTAGCATCGTTAGCTCCCCTATTAGTCTCTGTTTTCTACTCAGTGGAGCTGCTGCTAATTCATTCTGATAGAGGAAATCTGGAGGCAGGATAGTTGGAAATAACACAACAGAAAGGAAGCTGTCAACATGAGCTCTGTTAGCCAATCAGGAACAGAAAACAGACCAGCTGTAGTTACCAGCTGTGTCCACTGGAGGGCGGAAACCTCTCTGCTCTGATAGAAATAGACCACAATCAGCCTGTAGATCAATTATCTGCTAATGATCTCAGTCTGGATGTAAAACAGGGAGCAGGAATAAAAATCAGTTTTAGAGCCTCATACAGTTTTCAATTCTGTGAAGCTGCTTCTGATTCAATAACAGAAAAAAAATACAGATTTTGTGATGAAGAAGCCAAATACAGTTATATCTAGTTGCTGGTGAAAGTTCTCAGTCATCCAGGACATAGTCAGTCTAAAAAAATAAAAAACAATCCACTGGAAACCAAGTCCAGTGGATTTTTAATTTTTTTGGAAAGTTATATCTACTGTTTTCAGACAGAAAATCAGAATCTGACATATTTTAATTCAAGCAGAGGGCAGCTAGAAGTCATAATTAAAAATGCCAAAAATAGTTTGGGCTATTTAAAATTGCAAACATTTTATTTCTCACTAAATTCTAATGACTGCAGCTATATTGACTGAAGGCATTAAATAGAAATCTACCAGTTTTATATTCCTATATTATTAGAGATGGAGTCTCAATATCAAATATTCATACAAACCAGATGGTATACAACAGATACTTAGAAGTATTAATAGTTTTATTTAGATGGAAATTTAACGCTTGAACATAATTTGTATAATTTTTATTTGTGTAAACACAAGAGATGAGAACATTGAGGAAGGATATTTCACTCAAAATATTTCAGTTAATGTATCATGAACAAGAGAAAATGAACTAAACAAGAATTAATATTTTATTTTTACAGATTCTGTCCTGAACGTGGTCTCTATACTGCCCTCCCGTGGTATTAGGTTGTAATTACACTTTACAATTCTTCAGAATTTTAGAACAATGAATCATAATGATGGTAAAAAAAGAAAATCTGAAGGATTGTTTGTGTAGCCAAAGATGGATGCTGTGGTTCAGCATCAGGGTGTAGATCTATAGATGCTGATAATCAGAGTTAAGCAGGGAGGGCTGATGAAGATCAGCCTCAGAGCTAAAAACATCCTCCAGTGTCTCCACCTCCTGCTAGCGTCTGTTAGCATCGTTAGCTCCGCTCTGAGTCTCTGGGGGCTGTTTTTTCTTTAACTCTGTGAAACTGATTCTTACTCA